ATCTAGATCCAACAGTTAGATCCCTAAATTTCCCATTTTTAAGGGAGTTACCAAAAGTTGGAAGATGGTTATTTTTTTCCCTAAATTGTTTCTTAGCTAACATCCAAGGCCCAAATTGTTCAATTGTCTGTCCCACATCAGATTCCTAAGAATCTACAACCATATCCTTGATCATGCTAGAGTCATCAAGACCTTCTCCCATCCTATTAATGACATTCCTATTAAGAGAAACCTCCTGATCCATGGTGGATTGACTATCTCGAATGGTGGTTCCACACTGCTCTTGCCTATGACCATATTTCCCACAGTTGAAACATATTAAGTGTAAACTCTCATATTCTACTTTGAATTCTTGACCTAAAGCTTTGAAAGCAGGGACTAATTGTTTCCTAAGGTCAATTTCAATACAAATTCTAGCAAATTTACTCCTAGATAGTAAGGATGTATAGGGATCCACTTTCAACATTGATCCCAAACAAGCTCCAACTTGCTACAGAAATTTATTATTATACAATTCAAGAGGTAAATCAGGAATACGAACCCACACAGCTATTTTCTTTATATTATAGTCCTTAGTCTGGAATAGAGGCCTCCACCTCTGAACCAGAAGATAATGGTCCAAGATTAATCAAGGTCCCTCAAAGAGAGCATATTTGTAATCTTCCATACTCTCAAATTTAACCAAAAAGAAATTATTGTTTAAATCAAGGACTGTTAACGAACCATGTTTACTCCAAATAGAACTAAGTCTCTGGTTTAGATAGTTAAAGCTCACTGATTTTCCTAAAAGCTTAACAATAAGGGTGAACTTCCAAGGAGAGCACCAACCCTCATAATCTTCAAGGGAAATTTTAAGACTAGGACAAATATTTTGGTCCTCACTTCCTATTACATCAGATTCATCATTTTCAGAATGGATATTAAAATCTTCTAGTACTGACTTGATGATTTCCTCATCATTTAGAACTAAATCCAGATTTTTTGACTCCAGAACTTTATCTTTATATGATAAAGGTACAAAAACATTAGGGTTAGAAAACACCTGAGATTGAATTGGGTTTGGCGAATGCAGGTCTTCTTGCATGAGTTCCTCTTGCTCCTCAAAGATTGCCTCAAACCTCATCTTAGCCTTTTTCGTACTTCGATCTATCAGATCTAACTCTTCTTTAGATCGTTTTTCTGGTTCATGACATTTCATCCCTTCTCGCTCCTCTTGGTCAGAGATCTGAACTTAGAACTTTCTGCTTACTGTCCTCTGTCTTGCACTTCATCCCTCGGTAGGTCACAAGGACGCAGACTAGCTAGGGCGAGAACCTTAGTGGCGCCTCTTTTACCCCTCTTCTTGAAAAGAAAGAAAACTATCTTGGAATCCCGAGAAAACCCTAACTTGATGAAGATGTTATGAGCATATTTGTGATTTATCTATAAAAAAATTACTGCAATGAACATATATATAAAGATAATGTTGCATATATTACTTATTTGAAAAAATAATACTATAAAAGCGATAAAATAAAACATATTTCTCTAAAATTCTTTTTATTCATGATCTTCAATAGAATAACGATATAAATATTCAACAAATTTGTTCATATAAGAATTTAATAAATATTTTTATAAAAAAGTCATTGTCAAGTAAGACTTTTATATCACTTAATTCACAAGATTAGACTTCTTTATCTTAAAAATAATTGTTTGCATAACAAGAATTAAATATGTTATATATTTTTTTTTCAATAAATTTTCTTGGTAAGCTTTTTAATAAATAATATGGAATAACGTATTAAAGGATAATATACTTTTTACTTTTACTAAATCTTTATCACATTAAATTTTTTCTGGTAAAATTTATGAAACAAGTTCTCACATAATCAATATTTAAAGAGAAGTAATTATTATGAGTCAACATGTATCTTTCTATTTTTTTCATATTTCTTAAAACTTAAGTGAATGTAACATTTTGTGTAATTCACATTTAAAGAGATAAAAGTCTTAAATTGTAAATTTAGATTTATAAATAAGAGATTTCATTTATACTATAAATATGTAAAATTAAAAAAAAATTAATTTTATTCTTTCTTTTTTTCTATTATAAGTTTACATTAATTTTATATTTTTTTGAAACGACTGTATTACTAGTATTAAAATATCCTTAACAGAAAATGCACTTAAAGAAGATCAAGATGAAAATGGATGAGGCCGATTCAATTTAATGCATGCGTGATTAGAAGTTCAAAGTTCAAATTATTGAACATCATTTCATGGTGCCACAATTAGGTATTATTCTTGGTCGTCTAATCATATCAAAATATCATTAAAACAGTTTCACTATAATAATTGCTACTTAATAAATGAAGAACTTCTGATAATATGGAAACACTTGATATTGGATGATTAACAAATTAAGGTGATAATAAATAAACTATAATTTAATATGTATTTTTCTCCCGTTTTCGTCACAAATTTGACTTAGGGACTGATTTAGAGGCAAGGAAAGGTCCAGGTTCTTCCTTCTTTGATTTTTCAAAAAAACAAAATGCATAAAAACTAATTTTTTTTCATAGAAAAGGTCTATATAATCTTATATTTATTAATGTATTTATATATGTCAAAGTGTTTTATTTTAATTTCTCGTTAATGCTTTCTAGATTCATTTTATGGTGATATCTTTCTCGTAATATATCTACGATGTAAAATCTACTTAAATAAAGATCTATCATATATTTTATACCAACCATTTTAAACCTTTTGATGTTTCACTGCTCATTTTCATCTTTAGCCGGGGTGTGTGTGTGTGAAGTGGAAAAGGATGATAATACAAAAGACAAAATTTAAATTAAGTTATTTGTCATCAAGTTCTTTATGGCCTGATTGCTTTCACGTTGGGTGTCCTTCAGTTTCCTTTGCCATAAATTAATAATTAATCACAGCAGCTCAACTGGTATTCAAAATCGGTAAGAGAGGAACAGAACGCTAGAACAAGTATAGCATTGCGATTATTATTTTATTTTTCTAGAAAACCCCATCAAATACATGTTCCAAAAATTTTTAAAAAATCTTAATGTTATTATTTAACAAGAAAAGTTCATAACAAAAATAAGGAAATTGATTTAAATTTTATCTTAATACAAATTATTTTCTTCGGTCTTATTTATAATAAATAATTGTTACTATTTTATCGTTTAAAATAAAAAACAAAAATTATTATATATATTAATTGTTAAATTATTTGTATATTCTTATTTATAGTAAAATTGATTTAGCAAGACAGTTATTACCCATATAAATAAATTTATTTATTTAATATATAAATTACCAATTTAATCATTTGTTATTATAAATATTTTAAAATATAATATAAATTTATGATATATAATTATTTTATTATTTTTTAATAAATTAAAATAAAAAACTAAAAAATTAAGCCAAAAATAAAATTAAAAATTAAAGAGACTAATATACTAATTTAAATTTTTTAAAATTTATCAACAAGTAAATAGATAAGAAACCGAGGATACTTTGCCAATACAATGAAATGAGAATAGACTAGTCGGGTGCGAACGAGCTTACTAAAAATAGGTGGCACCAACGAGGACCGGCTACACATAGTGGGCTATGTAGCTGAGGGTGACCCCTATTCAAACGAGTACGTTACAAGCGTAAAATTTATTATAGCCAAAAATAGGAATAGGTAATTTAGTATCCTATTTGTACCTCATCAGATAACCATTTAGCGATGACAACCTCATGCGTCATGCCTTGCATTGAGAGTAATGTAGCAATGGGACCTCTCCATAAGAACCCTGTCATATATTCTACTTTGCTTCCAAACAAAACCAATCATCATGGATAATATAGCATGTGGGTTTATCATCTACCTTATACTAATGATAAATCTGAAATCTTTATTTGTCTTGCAAATACACTCTCGCAGTTTTATAGATAATATTGAGGTCCATTTAGAACACTTTGACTCCCTTATTGCATATGCTAAATCGGTGACTATATATGACCAAATGGAGAAAATAGAAAAAAAAATAAAATACAAATCCTACATTGTATTTGAGACCACGAATTAATTTGCCTTGAAAGAAAATTGGCAAACTTAAAAACTTCTCAGCAAAAATAATGGTAAGAACTTAAAGAACAATATCCTCGCCTAGAAGACTTTCTTCGCATTTATTATGTAACCACTCATTAATCATGAAGAAATATGTATTATAAGAAGTTTTGAAAGAAATGGGTCCATGTCACCGTGCCAAGCCAAAGTTGATAATGAAATTGCATCTGCCATCCAATTGTAAAGCGCAAAATAAAGGCCGTTATGGTTTGTCCTTCGTTAGTAAATGATTAATGGACAAAGTGTTTATTTGGACGTTTAGCCTCTACTTAATCTATATATCGATTATCGAATTATCTTATCCTTAATTCAAATCAGTGCATTGTGTACCTTAAACAAGTAAGGGACAATAAAGGATAGATCTATAGCATATCTCAAATGTCAGAACCGCATATAGTGCATGCCAATGCTGAAGGAATACCATGCCAATAACATATTAGAGTTTATCTTTTGGCAAAAAGACAAACTAATTAGTTGATGTTATGCAGCTAGGCGTGCTGTGGAAAAATTAGTCTTGACACCAGCCATGCACTTCAATTTAATTGGAAAACTTAATTCAAATCATGACCTACCTTTTGGGATGATTTTTAGGTCCAGTAATTTAAAAATTGAAAAGGACCTCAAAAAATCTTTACCAATATTTGGTCAATCCTCGTAAAATCACAACAGGATATTTTATCCTGTTGTATTAGATGACAGCCATGCCACGTCAGATACAGCTCTGTGAATGTGATGTCAAAGTTTTTAGACTTTCACCTTGAAAATGAAGCCCCTCTCTGGAACTCCAGCCATAGCATATAGATATTAATATCATCAGTAAAGCATCTCGTACCAAAACTTAGAACTGGAATGAACTCCCGGAAACATTAACATGATGAAGCTCTAACTTCTATGTTGTAAGATTTATATGTGGTTATTTAGCCACGGATGTATATTGTTTTGCAAAAAGTACAAAATTCAGATGAGCCCAAAATCCAGTAAACTTAAGGACCTACGGAGAATTTGTGTAGAGATAAATGTGAAACATGCTATATACATACAAGTAGGAATGATCTACATCTTGAAGTTATGATCACGCATGTTATAGGAAAATAGCTCCATCTAATCTCTTCAAAAGCAATTAACACCTAAGAGTGGCAGCCATCTCAAGGCAGCAATTCATACACTTGGCAATACAACTTTGGTTATGCTACCAAAGTTTATTACTTTTGTTACAGACAGGAATCACAGAAACGGGTAGATGACAAGATCTTATATCACTCTTCATCATTCTCATTGTTGGGCCTTCCATACACCACAGAAAAATAGTGGCTAACTGTTGTCAAAGTGAGACCAGGGAACCTGTGAGGTTTGCCTGGCCGTGGATCAATCTTAATAAACGGCCATTTCATGATTTCCGCAGCTTCACACTCTTCCCATCCATCTCCAATTACACAAAAACGAACATTGGGATGGTTGAAACGCTCTTTGATCCATCGGAAACATTGAATTTTCCCCACTTCCCATGAGCTATAAACTGAAATGTGACAATATATAATTTACCAATGACAAGTTACATTGAGTTTGATCAGGATCTAACTCTTGTTCCACTAAAATGGTTATTAGTTTTGAGCTTCAAAATGGTTCATTATTACTACAATGACTATTTGCTTTGAGCTTTCTAAAGGAAAAATAAAATCATGTGACATCATACCCAGAAGACATAAAATTACTCACCATTTCCATGCGGTATTAAGCTGTCCAGATGAAAGAGCATGCACTTCACAAGAGAGGGAATTAACGATCCTGATGTCACCAATACATTTACGTGCTGATAGTTTGCATTAGTTGAGTTAGTGCTTGTGTTATCAAAAGCAATAGAAGAAACTGCATCTTTATCTTCACCTGAGCACTCCTTCAAAAAGGTCCGTGCTACAATATATTAAACATGAAAAATGTAAATAATACAGGTCAAGCAACAAAAAATAATAATACCAATGAACTATTAAATACCTGATGAAAGCCATCTGTCAGTGTATTCGTCAGTTTTATCATACAATTCATCCCAGAGTTTTATTGTATCATGATTTAAAATGTTCCGTAAACCCTGAAACCAAACAAGAGGGTTAAGTTTATCCCTAGTTCAAGCTATTGATGAAAAAGCTAGCAAATAAAGTAAACTACAACTTCTTTGGTTACACCCCCAATATCTAACTCTGATTCTCACTTCATGATATCTATCAAGTTTCAGTCATTATAAAATAAAGTATCTTCTCCCACTAATAAACTAAAGCTCATGAGGTTGTTTCGAAACAGTAATTTAATTGTGTATTATAAGCACTGACTTCTGTGAAACTGGAAAGCTTGTTTCTGTCACTTTTGACAACTCTTGATCTGTTAACAAAGGAATTTAAATATTTATTTGCAAAAAAGTTGCAGTAGCCATGAGCAACAGGGATGATTAATCACTGCCAAACTATTCATTATCTAAAACACAAACTAAAAGAAATATTTGGAAAGTCACAGGTATATAATGCATCACATAATATCACATATAATCCAAAGTCCTTCAATAAATTAGTAGTGGTTAAAAAACAAGTCAGATGCAAGTTTTACAACTGACTTTCAGAATATTCATCACAAAAACCAAATTATATCTAACTTAAAACTTCTATGTTAAATGTAAAACTATCAATAATGCTCCAGAAATTATTTTATAACTTTATTTTAACCTGCACACATTCAAAAAACTTGATTCCAAAAAGGCAGTACACATTAGCCATATATATTACAATTTTGCATGTATAGACGACAGGAAACTATAACATACAGGTATAAAAACACAATAAAAAAATATTTTACCTTAGAAAGAGATTGAGATCGAACTGTACAAACTATCATTATTATATTTAGACGAGGTCCATAAAACAAAACAATGCTATGGCTTCATTACCAAACCCTTCCATCTTATGATAAAACACAAAACAAAGTACTGTAATAGATACATACATCACATAACATACATCAACTTCAAGAAGCATCAATCAATATGCAATAATGTAATAACAAGTAAAATTCCATGCTATAGTACTGACTTCCAAAACTTAAATATAGAAATACTATACCACTCCAGACATTTTACCTGTAAGTACTTATGGGCAATGACCCGATGCCTATATGAAAGTTTTCTTCTGTTGGCATCATCATGTGGCGGACCTAATTCATCTTGTTTGAAGTCATAATCAGATAGGTCCCTCCCATCATCATATTGGGCTACTGCATTAAGAAATGGCTTATTGTAATTTTCAATCTGCACCACAGAAGCCCCACATTAAATTATTAGCATTCCAGCAGCAAAACAAGCCATGGAAGTTGTGTGCCAAATTTTACTTGTTCATAGAAGAAATAATCATCACATATTTGTAGAATGAGATTTTCCCACATCCTCCCAATTTCTACACCCTTCTGCACATCCTTCTGACCATTGAAAGCCTCAGCATACGATGATTTCAGCAAGGAATTTAGAAGTATAAGGGTCTCATCCATGTCCCACACATAGACATCCAACCTGGGATGAACACTTTCTCTGGAAAACACTAGTGTTTCCTGATCAGACATCCCGGATGTGGCAGCCATTCCCGTGTGTGCTCAAGGAACTAGCCTGACAGTGCACTGCAGCAAAAGATCATTATTCATTGCAGAATGTTACTTTACATTTTTATCACCGCATATTGAGATCATCTTCAACACACAATGATACAATATAGGCTTGTTTGTTTCCCAGTTAGAAATCAATTTTTGCACTTTTTAACGCAAAACACATTCCAATAAAAACATATGGTTATTAATTTATACATGTATTCCAATTACATTCAACTGTTCAAAATCAATTTTACTCAATGTGTTCCCACTTATAAAGCTAAAATTTTAAAATTTAGAACAAACAAAAACAGTTTTAACCTTGTTCACACTCATTCAGTGCCTCAACAAATTTAAGCGACCTCGGATGAAATTAATGGATTAATAACTTTTAAATAGACAAAATAAAATAAATAGAATCATTCAACACTTCGGCATGAGGTAATAACAAATTCAGAAATCATAATGACATAATTAGTAGGATGAGCATACTATTTTATTAATTACAATAATCAAAACCGGTATGATTTGAATCAGCATGTTAACCATAGAAACGAAAAAGTATAATCAATATATGCATGCACAGAGCAAGAAGGCAACAAAAAAAAGTGGTTACCTTAGTTTAAGGTTTTAGAGCGTGGAAGTACGAGGACGACGACGACGAAGTTGTGATGTGAGTCAGAACATCAGGTTCTATCATGTCGCCCAGCTACAAAATATTCCCCCTTTTACAATTTTGCTTTTACATAGGCCTGAAAGATTAGCCCACATTTGGGGACCAATAAGTAAAGTGGGCCTCTTTTTTCATAGCAAAAAGGGTTTTTTAAGACAATAATTTGTTCTTGCTCAGCAAGTTATTTCAACCTTCCTTCTATAACACCCAAAAAAAAAAAACTCCCTTCTGTTCTGTTTGTGTTTTTTTCTACCAAAAATGAAAACTATTTTTAAAATCTATAAAAAAAAATTCCGATATTTTAAAAGTAAAGTACTCTAACCTTTCTTCTATTATACAGTTTTTGTACCCTCATTATTTTTAAAATCCACGTAAAGCTCTCTTTATTTTTAGAATAAATTACTCTAACTTTTCTTCTATTTTACACTTTTTAAAAAATATATATTTTTATTATTTACAATTAAAACCATATTATAACAAAAATTATAGAATTATTAAATATTTAAAATATTTATGGTCTGTCAAATAATTTAATAGGTGTTATAAAATTATTTTTAAGGAACATTCATCCTTAATTGCAAGTAATTTAAATTTTAATTACTTTGTAGATATAAATATAATTTATTACTCTAAATTTTTATTATAACATTGGTTTAATTGTAAGGCATTCATGTTATATAAGAATGGTTTTTGTAATGCTTTACAAATATATGAAGTTTTATGTTATGTATCTTTAAAATGATTTTAAAAGAAGTTTTTATAAGAAGAAAAAATAGAAGGGAGATTAAATTATACTATGCCGGTTACATATGACTTCTCATACATATTTAATAATGTCTTTATTATATTTATAATAGTTTTGTTCACAATGTTAAATGCAACATTCTTAATCAGTATCAATCTAACCGTACCAATAGTTTATCGATCCAACTCTTAATTTGTCTACTCTATGTTATCTAGTTTCTTTCTTGTCAAGAGTTGATACAACTTCCTTTTATAAAGATAATTTTTTGTATGCATATTCCAGAATATGAAGTTTGCCATTAAATTTTTCAATTTTTACTTTCTTTTTTTATTTTAACGTCATTGCTCCTGTTACTTTCTCTAAATAAAGCTCTGACTTCTTTTTCTAAACAGAAATCATCGTGAAAAATTAAATATTTTCTAACATAGAAGGTTAGGTAAAATTACATCCACATAGCACCCTAAAATAAGTTATTGATATCAATTGTTGAGAAAAAAAATAAAAGAAAGAGAGAAATAGAAAAAAAATGACACAAAAATTTAATATAGTTTGATACACATTATATATACTTACATCAAAAACTACATTAAGAAAGTATCTTTTAAGATACATATAAAAATATTACAAGCTATTATTTACATAATAATATTAGGTAAGAAGTCACCTAAGAACAAATAATGTGACTTAATCGGATACTAACCGTAAGTAATATGAGATTTGATTATTGTACATAATATATATTAATAAAGTGATTGATTTATAGTTAAAAATTATTATTGTACTTGTTAATAAAAAAGATATATTTCACTAAATATATTTAAAATTAATTATAGTGCATATATGAATAATGCTTAACACTAAAATTAATTTTCTTAAAAAACAAACCGGTATTGGACTCTGATAATTTGTAAACGGTAATGACATTCACTGGTGTTTGCAGTCAAGGAAACAACTCACATAAGTATGTTCATCATCAACATTCTCGAAAGCCGCCCAAAATGACATATTTATACTTTTTTGCAGTGAATACATCGCTGACACGATAGATAATACCAGAGCTTAAGCCCATTGTATCACAATAAACGCTTCTTTATATTTTATTCCAATTCCAATCGGGTTTCATATTTAACTAAGTCAACCATTATCGAAGCTAACGACGGGTTATTATATTATCTCAATTAATAATAATTTGGGTTATTTTCGTTCTATTAGAAAATGCTGACTGTTTGGTTACATCCTAATTAGATTGGATAAAGGATTCACGAGTTACTTATCAATTATGACTGACTTTTGATTCTGACTTATATAATCTTGAATTTTATCCTTTATCTCATAAAAATCAAAGCGTTGAAAATAAAAACATTTGAAACTTAGTGCATTTGAAAGAGTTTATAAATAATTTATTTCAATAAATTTATTGATATATTTTTTTAAAATAAATAATTTTTAATTTGTTCTAATACATTTTATCATTAGGTTTATTATATAAATCATCATTTTAAATATATTTATTAATAAATACTTAAATAAAGGGTTATCCAAGCTTGGGAGACAGATATACAAGAATCTACCACACGTGAGACACTAAACATAACAAAGTTGGCACTACAAACGGGTCACAAATGGCAAACTGCAAATTGCCAAAAGCAATGAACACATCGATCTTGATACTGCAATATTATACATTGTTCATTTCATCTGCATATGACAAGATTAAGAAAAAATCAAAGTTACAAACACTTGTTTACAATGCAAATCCAAAATTACAGAGAAGTTTATTCGGAGAAAGTAGAAACAAGGTGTTCCAAACATATGGAATGGATAAACTGAAGAAACATAAATTAACATGATGACTTTGTTAAGACATCATTTCAGCTTAGGGTAAAATATGGAGCAAAGCCAGAACCAAAATCCCCTCTTTTTCTTCTTTGATGGCAGAAGTTTTGCATCCCTATTGATGACAAAATCAGCCATATACTGCACAACTTCCTGCCCAACAAAAATATGCATAGTTTATGTAAATAGAAAAGGTGGAAGAATAGAAACAAACCAAAGTTACATCTCAAAACGTTTACCTGAGCACCCAACTTGACCAATTCTCTTGGTGGCACCTCAAGGGGAGTCTCATCAGCTCTAAAAACTCTCAACTTGGACAATAACCTGAAAGACTCAGGTAGAGCTCTTATTTGATCATCACTTATATCCAACTCCTCAAGCATTTCAAGGTTTCCAATTGATCTTGGCAAGGCTCTTAGGTCCGCAAAGTTCTTTCCCAAGTTTAATTTCTTCAAATTAGTTGCAAAACACAGGTTCTCCGGTACAAATTCAAGTTCATTAAAGCTAACATCAAGCTCCTTCAAATTGGATAGATTACCCATTGTGGAAGGCAATTTCTTAATCCTATTATAGTGCAAGGTGAGAACCTCCAACCATTCCAGCTTCCCAATTGCCTCAGGAAGGGCCTTGAGCTGGTTGAAATCTAACTTAAGCACAGATAGTGAAGAGCAATTTCCAATTGTATAAGGCAGTTCCTCAAGCTCGTTTGTTTCAACAATCAATCTCTTCAAGCTGTTCAAATTTCCAATTGTCTCTGGTAACTCTGTGAACTCATTTGAACTCAAGTCTAGACCAGTAAGATTTGTCAAGTTTCCAAAAGTAGGAGGAAGTGATCTCAATCTGTTGGCGTGGAGGTCAAGATCAATGAGGTTTATCAATTCACCAAATGATTGAGGAAGGTTTATAAGTTGGTTTGAGTGAAGATCAAGCTTTGTTAAGGCCTTTAGAGCCCCAATGGTTGTCGGAAGAGCCATGATTCTGTTTTCAGATAGGTCCATTTCAGTGACATCAGATAATTTCCCAATTGAAACCGGCAACCACTCCATCTGATCCACCAATTTCCCTCTAAGCTCAAGGCTTTTAGCTCCATTACTGGCGCAAATTTCAATAAGAGTAGCCGCTTTCATTAGACTTAATTTCTCACTGCTTCCATCGCCTACAAAATTCAAATCAAACCAGTAAAAGAAAATAAATTGCCTAATTAACAAATTGAAAAGGCCTCAAATTAAAGAAGCAACTACCAGTAAAAGAAAATAAAATATGTTGGAACTAATTATGAATAATAACTAGAGGGGAAAAAAACATAACCACAATATCAATACAAAAAATAAAGTAAAACAATTGGGTTATTTCACATATGATTGGAACGAACCTGCTGAAGAGGAACCCATTACCGCTTCGAAATCGTTTTTCTGGGGTTCATCCTCTTCCTTCTTCTTAACCAAAGTATCATCAGTGATCGCAACATGGGGTTGGGCTAAAGTAGGAAACTTTAGTTCCTGGGCATCTCCAGAAACGAACTGAGAAGCTCTCTGAATGAGATCAGCGAAGGTTTGAAACATCTTTTCTTGCTGAAGAAGGTGAAGTGCCTCTCTCCTCTGTTGATGGCTCTGAAACACGACCATGGTCTTCCTGAGTTCCTGAAGGACATAAAAGAGGTCTTGAGGGACATGGTGAGGGATTTCTTGCATTGAGATTTCGTTGAGTCTGATTTTTTCCTCGGTGTTCACGGTGTCCATAGTTGACGTGGCAGCTTCCACTTCTTCAATAGAAGGTCTAGGTGGCAGTGACCTATAGATTGAGGTGATTTCTTGTACTGTGTCGAGAAAGGCACGGGAAGATGCTTGTTGTGGTTGTGGAGGGTCTCTTTCACCGTGTGGCCTCATGGCCATGGCTAGTGGTACGGTGGTGTGTGTCACCGTGGACTGGGAGGGGTAATAAGGTAGAAAAAGAAGGAGAAGAAGAAAGAGCCTCGATTTATGGAATGGCTGGGCGCTTGGTGGATTTGTCTTTTTATTTTACTGGATTTTGTAATACGGATTTATAAAGTATCTATATTTTATTTTATATAATAACGTATTATAATTAATAATATTATATTTTTTTATTTAAGTTAAGTATACATTTAATAAAATTATTAGAATCTATTTTAAAATATTAGTTTATATCAATTGATAAAAAAATATTTTAACTTGAGATGGTGAATTTGATAAAAAAAATTAAATTATCAATTTAATATTTAAAAATTAATATATATATATATATATATATATAATTTTATTAACGATATAAACTGCACATATTTAATCTTACAGGAGAGTTAATTTGTAATAAAATCTAGATTTATAATTATGAACTTTTAATTTTTATATAATTTTATAATTTTTTTATTATTTTTTATTTAATTTAATTTAAATATAATATGAGTTTTAGATGCAGCAGATAAATTTATTATTAAATTTTTTTTATACACAAAAATGTAAATCTATTTTATTTAAGTAATATCAAATTACTTGCTATTTGAACTAACTTCTATTAGTAATTTTTTATATAATTTTAATATTATATAATTATAAAAATAAATTAAAAAAATAAATGTTTTTTATTTTTTTAATAAATTTTTTAAAATTTTTTCATAATATTTATTAAATCTTAATTTAGTAAAATATTTATTTTGAATATATTTTATTTTATTATTAATATATATTGTCAAAATAAATTATAAAATCAGAATATTTAGTAATGCTTTTAACTCGTAGCTGCAAATAATTATTTTTTAAAATTTTATTATTTAAGTAGTTTTCATATTAATATTTTTTAAATTAAATATTATGAACATGATATATAAAAAATTAATAAAAATTATAAATTTAAGTATATATTGATTTTAAATTAGTTATATTTGTAAAATATTAAATTTAAATTAATAATAAATAAACAATTTTTCACTTTAAATAAGTTAATTTATTATTATTTTATATTTTTTAAATTATTTATTAAAATTAATTTCTTCCTTTTTTATTATATTATTTATTAAATTTTTTATTTTATATATTTTTATTTCTTAAAATGTATATACTTTAAAAAATTAAAAAATTTAATTTTAAAATGTACGTGTGTGAGAGGAGAAAAATATTAGAAGTTATATTACAATATTTTTTAAGTAATTAATATTTTTATCATAATACAATCTGTGCTATTTTTTTTTTTTGTAAGAGTCTGAATTACTGTATAGATATATTAAATTATACATTTTTAAATAAATAAAAAAGTATTTATAAAAATATAATAAAATGTGAAATAAAAATATTTTATAGTAAAAATGTTTACTTATATTTAAATATAAATTGTTAAGGGACAACGTAAGAATTTTATAAATTATAACACAATTGATAAAATTATAATTATTAATTAATTTAAAACAAATATTTCATATCGTATTTTTACTCGAAAACTTACAACACAATCTTTCTTTATAGACAAAATTTACTAACATTTTAAATTTATGTAATTTTTACCTTTATCATAGAGAACTTTTATTAATGATTTTGTATTTTATACATTAAATATATATTTAAAAAATATATAATTTTTATAAAAAAATAGTTATCTTTTAAAACAAAAATTATTTAATATTTATTTCAAATAATTAAAAATATAAAATTATATTTAATTTATAAACCATATTAAAAAAATAAAAATCAATTTAAATAATTAAATGTTGTTGAGACGTCAAATAAATATTTTTTAATAAATTAAATTATTGAAATGTCAAATAAAAATGATTTATCTCTTCAAATTTTTAAAAAATTAAATAAAAGAGTTTATTCAAACGTTTCAAAAATAAAAAAAATATAAGTGGTTCCTAATTTGTGAAGATAATTTTATTTATTTTTTTATTAATATTTTTTCTGTATAAATATTGGTGTCCTGTTTCTCATTGGGGTGATCATACTCTAAAGCTTGGAAGTTGGAATCGAGATCCTGAAATCAGACTGGGGTGAGCAGTTTTGTTGAGGTTCCCCTCAGTAGTACTGAGTCAGTACCTTGGTTTGAAACTCAGTTCGTGGAGTCCCTTTTCTTTCTTGATGCTTTCTTCACCAGCATCCAAACACCAAATAAGCTTGTCATTTCCATTTTCACATCCATCTTCACATACTTTTCTCCTTTGGCATCACCATCATTCTCTGCAGTAGGACTCTCATTCTCATCTGCTATAGGTGTACTCATGCTCCTGCTTATTTCCTTTTGCTACACAAGACCCAATTTTATTATCATAGACTTTACATTTGAAATAAATAAACACACTAAATGATATACAGATTTTCATAAGGAAATTTTTTTGAATAGTGATCCGGCTTCACACATTTTATCATGCGTTTATTTTTCAAAAATATAGTGTCGTGCTACAATTAATCGAAATTATGGTGATCCAGACCTTTAAAAAATTTCTCCTTCTTATGTTATCTTAAAAGTATGTCTCATTTTATTAAAAGTTGGGATAAACTAATTTCTCAATTCCTCCTCTAGCCACCGGCATGCAAAACACCCTAAAGAATGAATGAAAGTGTGATCATCAATCTTTAAAAATGCATTCTTAATTTATTTATTATCATTTAAATATTTATTTATATTGAAAATGATTTAAGTAGAATTCAGTTTTATTTGTTAAAAAATAAAAGGATATTTTTTAAAATAAAAAAATGTAATTCATTTTATAATTTAAACACTTGAAAAAGCAATAATTCATAATTCTCGTGTTTCGACATGAGAAACTAAATTAATAATAAATATGTGAATAAATAAAGGAAAAAAGAAAGAAGGAAGAAACTACCTTTTCTTGGTTGAAGGATTAACATCCTAAGTTCTAACAAGTGCAAACATCTACCCACAGGCAGGATTGAGGCTCTGATTCTCAGTACTGAGCTCGTCAAAGCCATTAACAATCTTTATATTTTCTTTTCTTTTCTTTTCTTCTGCCTATCAATCTTTAATTGTTCCCTCGATTCTCATCCACCTTCATCACTTTTCTCTCTTCGATTCCTTCAATCAAGTTTCGATCTTGATCATCCTTATTCATTCCCAATCTCTCCCATCTCCACCCCTTTATTAATCTCCACACAAAAATAAAGAAAAGAAAATGGGTTGCACGATGAGAGAAAAGCACATCAGAGCTAATCGGAGACCTCGATCGGTGAAACCCGATTCCGATTCATGCGATAAGGACGCAATATCCAAATCTATTGCCGAGTCTGGTCTCAAACCCTTCAAATACCATCTGGGTCCCAACGATTCTTCTCAGAACGCAAATTCCAATCCAAACCCTAACCCTAACGTTGAGGAAACCGGGTGGGGTTACTGTACAGAGGAACAATTGGAAGAGATTCTGTTGAAAAATTTGGAATTTATATACAACGAAGCTGTGTCAAAGCTTGTTGCTTTGGGTTATGATGAGGATGTTGCCATGAAAGCCATACTGAGAAATGGGCATTGCTATGGTGGCATGGATGTGTTGACAAACATCTTGCACAACTCTATAGCGTTTTTGAATAGCAATGGTGATGGTGGGGGAGGCTGTAATAATGGTGGAAACTTAGATGAGTCTGAGCCTGTGTTCTCTGACTTGAGGCAGTTGGAAGAGTACTCATTGGCGGGTATGGTGTGTTTGTTGCAACAAGTGAGGCCTCATTTGAGCAAAGGTGATGCAATGTGGTGTTTGCTCATGAGTGATCTTCATGTTGGTAGAGCTAGTAGCATGGAAATTCCGGTGCCAGGCAATGGATGTCCTGCTGCCACCGCCCCGGCCACTGTTGAGGCCGGTGGCAATTCAGTTGGCGTCATGGCTCCAGCTCTATGTAGGTTTCATGGGGGTTGGGGATTTGGTGATGGGGGAGGGTTGGATTTTCCTGTGAATGGGATATTCTCTTGTGGTGCAGAGATGAATTTGCAGCTGCAAAGAGATATTGAATTCCCGAAGAGGTTTAATCTTTCTCCTTCCATGAAGTCCTTGTTGAAGAGAAATGTGGCTATGTTTGCTGCTGGTTTTAGGGCAAACTCTAAGCAGTTGCAGACGCATGCGAAGGCCTTTCCTGGCCGGAGTTCTGCGTCTAATGTGGATTCTTTGGCTGTATCTGGGGCGGAAGTCCATGCTGAGCAGTCTGGAGATTCACAGAATCTCGATAACCAAGATGCAGTGAATTCGGTGCTGAGTAAATTTCGTGATTTGAATCTTGATGAGAATTTGGAACTTGTGGCAGAAGATCAGAAGGATGAGCTGATAGTTAATTTATTTCATCAAATTAAAGATCTTGAGAAGCAGGTCAAGGAGCGAAAAGATTGGGCACATCAGAAGGCAATGCAGGCCGCGAGAAAGCTAAGCAGTGATCTAACTGAGCTGAAAATGTTACGGATGGAAAGAGAGGAGACTCAAAAATTGAAGAAAGGGAAACAGGCACTTGAGGACACGACGATGAAGAGACTCTCGGAGATGGAGAATGCTTTGAGAAAGGCTAGTGGTCAAGTGGACCGTGCAAATGCAGCTGTTAGAAGACTAGAAACAGAAAATGCAGAAATCAAAGCAGAAATGGAGGCTTCCAAATTAAGTGCATCAGAGTCAGTAACAGCTTGCTTAGAAGTTGCAAAAAGGGAGAAAAAATGTTTAAAGAAACTTCTAGCTTGGGAAAAACAGAAAGCTAAACTGCAGCAAGAGATTTCTGATGAAAAAGAGAAGATATTGGAGACACAAGAAATATTAGTTCAGATTAGACAGGCTCAAAAAGATGCTGAGGTTTGCTCTTTGTTACCAATTGTTTATTTTTATTTTGAGAATAACACGCACAGACCACCAAAAAGAAAAGAAGTTATGGTTGAGCATTTGTCTCTGTTTGCATAGAGTGAGATTATTGATTGAACTGGAATCTCTCATATCAAAATAAAATTGACATGTTTCATCCACAAGGTGTAGCGTAGTTTGCAATCCATTGGAAACACCTTGTGACCAAAGCCTAGCTGACACCCAGACAGAGGGCTAACCCACACTCAAAAGGGGTAGAGACACTTCGTGATCTTACCAAAAGAAGATACCATGTTTCAAATTCAGACATCAACAGGGTCTAGACAAGTGTCACAGAGTTGCTATTGTCACATTAAAATTGTCAGTTTCTGCATAAAGGGCTTCGGTCATTTTTAACCTGAGTAACTGAATGCAATCTAACTTGAAGGTTTTAAAAATTTATAGTTCGGTGTGGTAGTTAATAATTATGACTTGAAAAAGATGTAAATGTTGTCTTTTTTTCCTTTTTCTTGCATTCGATACATATTGCATATGTGTCAATTCTTTGTATGATATGAAGCATGACGGTTTTAAAAAAAGGAGCTACTATCGTGTTGGACACATAAGTCACAGATGTTTCAAACACAAGTACATGACAAGATACTGAAATTCTGTGGAACAATTGAAATTGTCTGTATCCTGTTCCTGTTTGTCCATACTTGTTAATATGTATCCATGCAGTGCTTTAGGATGGAGTGTTTGAAGCCAAAATGTTCCATCCCAAGCTTTTATGAGGGTGCCCCACTTGCCTCTGACTATATAGTGGCAGTTTTGGAGACTATTGACCATAGTTATCAATAGCATGCTATAATGGTGCTGTGGCAGCACAGAAACCTTTGACCAGTATGATGAGAATCTGGTTACATCACGTGTTGCTATAGTGGGAGTTGTGACCACAAACTGCAGCCGTTATCCCGGAATATTGCAGCCATATTGTACATATATTAAATTTCCTTCTTAAATCCTGCTGTTTTGTCATTATTGAACTCATTTTATGGGTATGTTTTTGGTGATTTTTCCTCATTCTACATCACAAGTGCTTTGAGTTTCTTGTTAGAGTCAAAACACTTCCTGTGTTTGACACAAAAATACCAAGGCATTTTATTTCTGCTACTGAACTCAATTTTCTGGCATAGTCATCCTGCAAATCTTCTGTGTCATTTTTGGCCAATCCATAGATATCTGGTGTTGTTTCCAGCCACCCCTCTGTTCATGCAAGTTCTTTACTATTATTATTTGTTCCTTTGTTGTTATCTCTTCACACTTCATGGTCTGTATTCCCTTAATTGGTCTCTGTTCCTTTTTTTTTCCAAACTACTTTGGTCTCTGTTCACATATCTAGTTTGTTCTTTTATTTTAAGTAATTCCATAATTTTTTAACTTCATTTCTGTGTTCTCATTTTGCTTGCTTGGCAGCCATGGCATGATCCACTTAATCATAACCGCATAGCTTTTGTTGTTATTGACTTGTTTCTTATCTTTAGATTGAGGATGATTGTGTGTTTAGAATTAGAGTGTGACTTTTGATTATTAGTTAGTTAGACTGAGGATGGTGCATACTGTGTACATTATAAATATTGTATCTGCTGCAATCTTTGGTATAGCCACTACCATCCCACAGTCTAGCTATAGCATTTTTGGGGTCAGCTGCAATCTATTGCTATTCCGGATTGATACCAATGCTATTGCACAAGTCAGCCAAGTATATGGTGTTTCAGGATTATGCATTGTAGCCATAGGTCTTTGTTTTAGTGGAGTTTTTGAAATGGGTATATTGATAAATGGGATTTAACTTAACCCTTACAAAAAAAATGCCTCCACGATAATTTAGGAAATAGCATAATGTAGCTTAAATATATACTAATTTCATTCCCTTTAGATGCTTTTATTCAAAAATTTATTTTTTTATTCAAGCCCAATGGCAATAATTTGTCTATGTAGCCAATTCCATTTATTGGGATAGGGCTTGGCTGGTGTTTATTGCTTGTTTTTGTGAAAAAGTTTCATATGCTATTATAGATGTTGATAATATATCTCTTTGTTAAAGGTATATTAATACTCATACATAACTATTTGATTTGAGCTTATCTTGTTAAAATTACGCAACTAATACATACATAGGTGTGTTACACTTTGCCTGCTTTTTTTCAATTTTATATTGCTATTGGCAACATATATGGTCTTTCTTAGGGTTGAGTCTTCCAAACTATTCTGAATCAAAGAAACTAACTCTGTCATATTATTTATGAGATGTATTTTGCAGTTTGTCTAGCCTTGATATAATAGGAGTGACTGTCATCATTCTTTTTTGTTGTCATCATATTGAAATAACACGAATGTCAATTGAACAAATTCACAAATTCTTCATATCGGCTGGAGTAATCACTTTTGTAGATTATTTGGTTCCTATTGTCAGGTATGACAATCTGTGTATTCATGGGTATTTATTCAGCAGGCATGTGATCTCGTTTCCTTTAATTCTTGATGATCCTTAAATTGTATTCTCTAGGTGTTTTCTTATTCATAATCCCGGTAGTGTATCATCTGGTTATTGATCATTATTAAACCTGTATTTTTTATCTGTTGACTCCATTTGAGTTGTTTCAATTAGTTAGCAATGATTTTATCAGCTCCATACAATATATTTGTACTGGTTCCTTTTCCTCACCCCTAAATCCCATGCTGTGAAAAGTGCAGTTTTTGTGAAAATGCTTAAAAAAAAAACTATATTGAAGACGAAACGTTACATCAGAAGCCTTAATATTGTGCAATAACTTATCACAGGTTAAGTGGAAGGAGGAGTTGAAGGCTAAAGAGGAAGCCTTAGCGCTAGTTGAGGAGGAGCGCCGGTCTAAGGAAGCAGCTGAGTCTAATAATAAGAGGAAGCTCGAGGCTTTGCGTCTGAAGATAGAGATAGATTTCCAGCGGCACAAGGATGATCTACTAAGACTTGAGCAGGAGCTTTCGCGCCTTAAAGCATCTGCTCAGTCTGCAGAGTTGCATCACCAATCAAACACTTCACCTATCAGTGACCTTGAGGGTGCAAAGCCTAAAAGAGAGACAATTGCTAGGCTGCTCCAAGAATTAGATAATCTGGAGGATTTTTCAGAGAAAGAAGTGAACAGACACAGGGAGTGCATTATATGTATGAAAGATGAAGTCTCCATTGTTTTCTTGCCGTGTGCGCACCAAGTCATGTGTGCTAGTTGCAGTGATGAGTATGGAAGAAAGGGTAAGGCTGTTTGTCCTTGCTGCCGGGTTCAAATCCAACAGAGAATCCGTGTATTTGGGGCAAGTTCTTAGCTTATTTATAAGTTTAATTTTCAATTGGTCTTGGGCAGGTATATACCCCTATGAATATTTTACAAATCCTTGCATTAGGCTACTTGTCTCACCAAATCTCACATTACACGCAGTGAGTCGTGAGGATAGTCAGGAAATATTATTGCTATTATTATAATATAAATAAAAAACAAAGTCCTGGCATTTGCTTGTCTATTGGAATGGTTGAAATTTTGTCGGTTGCTGCCGTTGGCTTGAAAATAAGATATGGGCAACTGTCATTTTGTCTTGACTAAGTGACCTTTGACATTCTTTTCATTTATTCCATATTTCGTTTTTCCAAGCATGGTCCTTTAAAGTGAAGCATAAAGTGTTTCTTTTACACTTATCTTGATCTGTTTTTAAAAGGAACAAAAAAACTTTGCCTATCTTGTTGGTTTTTACCTCTTCTGCATGGGAGATTTTGGTGATTTATATACTTATTGCTTTAATATGGGAAGTTTTAACTATATCAACAAATAATTTGTTGGCTTTTCATTCATTTAAGTACATAGAAAATTAAACAAATCAAGATAAACTACAGTTTGGTACAAGGTACCGTTATCAAACAGCAGAGAAGATTTGTGTTTCTAGTAGAATGTAGCATTAGAACTGGTAGAGTAAATGAGCTAAGAAAAAAATTCATATTATTCACGATAAAAGTTTATTGTAATATGAAATGAATTAAAAAAAATAATAGTTTTTCTATTTTTTCAATTATGGAAATGAGGAACGTTCCCGTCTTATTTGTGGCAAAGGCGTAATTTACAGTGGGCAGTATCACCAAGGGAGTTGAGGAAGGCCAATACCAACGTCAGGCCATTCACAGTGTTTGATTAATGGTGTCATAAGCATAACGCCTTTACATCTGGCCCTTAACGTAAAAGGTTCAAACAACGGAAGCTTTGGACAAATGGTCACATGAACAACACTTCGCCAAACCTAAGAGCGGCTGCTACTTGGATCGGTTCACAAAGAACTAATTAATACAAAACGTCACTATATACATCTTGGCATACCTCCATGATCGCTACTCTTGATATTTTTACAACAACATTCGTCGTATATTTTTGTTAACAAAATAAAGAGATGGAGATAATTAGATTGATGATGTGAGGGAGTAATAATTAGAAGAAAAATAATTGTTGTAGACGTTTATTGTGAGAACAATATAACTCAATAACAGAGTTAAAACAAATGGAGTAGGGAAAGCATAGGAGAGCCACTCATTCACCAACAATAATATTAACAAAAAAGTTAAGTAAAACACAACCAAGCCTGATGTTTGAGAACAATATTGCATCAGTTTTGCTTCATGAAGTTAGGTTAGCCTTGAGGTGTTGATTAGTTTGAACCAATATGATGATTGGAAAAATTAAACCAAGCCAATTAATTTTATTGGTTTGGTTTCATTTACATGTTTAAATTAAACTTGCAAAATTATATTGTTTTAGTTTGAGGATCGTCTTAGGAACTAATCTACCTTTTGTGTTTATACACACAACCATTTTAGTATATTTTTAAAATTCTTATTTTTTCTATCTTTCTTTTCGTACAGGGTATTTTCGTAGCAAAGATTTTTGTCTGACGCATCCACTATCCCACCATCTTCTGCAAAAGAATAACTAACCGCAGCTATGTGTACTGATAGAAGTCCCACATCGTGTGGGTTAAAATGGAAGGGACCCTCTTTGGCTTATAAAAGGAGGCATAAGGGTCCCTTAACATTCATTCCAAAATCTTCTTTCCCTTTCATCTTTGTATTACACTGAGATCTTGTACTCGGTAGTAATAGTCTCCTATTTTGAGGAGTAAATTTAAGAGTGAGGAGTAGTGTAATTTTTTCTTCTGTGATAATTTTATATTGTCTTTATTGGCTTTTATTTTTCATCTCTTATTTAAGTTGTGTGTTATTATACTGGTACTCTGGTCCTAACAGTGGTATCAGAGCTTCTAGGTTGTTGTTTATATTATTTCGCTGTAGTGTACATTGGTATAGTGCTAGAGAAAATTCTTAGTATACTCTGTGGTTGCAGTATTGTCTGATCTGTCACATCAGAAAAGAATTATTCTTGTTACTAGATATACAATTTTGGTAGTGTAAAAGTGCATATATAGTGTGTACTTATTCACAGTCTACCATTATTATTGTTCCAGTAGGTAGTACTATTCACAGTGAAAGTTACATAAGTCGGTATAATTAAGAGAGAAATTATGACAGCAAAATATGAGATAGAGAAATTTCATGGGAGTAATTTTTCCTTGTGGAAATGGAAGATAAGAGCAATTTTGAGGAAAGACAATTGTCTTGATGCAATTGAAGGCAGACCCGCAGATATTTCAGAAGAAAAATGGAGAGAAATGGATAACAATGCTGTTGCCAATTTGCACTTAGCATTGACAGATTCAGTGTTATCCAGTGTTGCAGAGAAGAAGACTGCAAGGGAGATTTGGGACACACTGATCAAGTTGTACGAGGTCAAGTCACTTCACACCAGAATATTCTTGAAGAGGTAACTCTACACTCTTCGAATGAGTGAGTCCACATCCGTAACGGACCACATCAACAATCTGAATACGTTGTTTGCTCAACTTACAGCCGCAGATTTCAACATAGTAGAAAATGAATGTGTGGAGCTTCTACTCCAGAGTTTACCAGATTCATATGATCAACTCATCATCAATATAACAAACAACAACATTATCGGTCGTCTATCCTTTGATGATGTTGTTGGAGCAGTTCTTGAAGAAGAATCCAGGAGAAAGAATAAGGAAGATAGACTGGAAAATTCTAAACAAGCAGAAGCATTGACGATGATGAGAGGAAGATCAATAGAACGTGGTTCCAGTGGGAGCCAGAATCATGGTAGATCAAAATCTTAGAGAAGGAAGAACCTCAAATGCTACAACTGTAGCAAGGGAGGGCACCTGAAGAAAGATTGTTGGAATAAGAAGAGTGGAGGAGGGAAGAATATTGAAGCATCAACCTCTCAAGGTTGTGTTGCAAGTACCTCAGATGATGGTGAAATCTTATATAGTGAAGCAGTAAAATCTAAAGGTGGGAGACAACTTCATGAATGTTGGATATTGGATTCAGGTGCAACCTGGCACATGACTCCATGTCGAGATTGGTTTTACAATTATGAACCTATCTCGGGAGGATCCGTGTTCATGGGAAATGATCATGCCCTAGAAATTGCTGGAATTGGTACTGTCAAATTGAAAATGCATGATGGTACTGTTCGAACAATTCAAGGGGTACGACATGTGAAGGGCTTGAAAAAGAATTTATTGTCCGTTGGGCAATTGGATGACCTCAATTGTAAGATCCACATTGAAGCTGGAATTTTGAAAGTGGTTAAAGGCAACTTGGTGGTGATGAAAGCAGAAAAGATCACAACCAATTTATACATGCTTTTGGGAGATACGTTGAAAGAAGCAGATGCATCAGTTGCAATTAGTTAAGAAGAAGAAACAATGATGTGGCATCGTAGACTTGGTCATATGTCAGAACGAGGCTTGAAAATTCTAGCAGAACGTAATCTCTCGCCCGGGCTCAAAATGGTAACCTTACCATTTTGTGAGCACTGTGTGACAAGTAAGCAGCATAGATTGAAGTTTGGCAACGTGACTACAAGAAGCAGACACATACTGGACTTGATTCATTCTGATGTATGGAAATCACCGGAAGTATATATTGAAGGAGCAAAATATTTTGTATCATTCATTGATGATCACTCAAGGAGATTGTGGGTGTACCCAATCAAGAAGAAGTCAGATGTGTTTCCAGTATTCAAGGAATTTAAAGCACTAGTAGAACTTGAAACTGGGAAAAGAATTAAGTGCTTAAGGACAGACAATGGAGGAGAATATGTAGATGGTGTTTTTCTAGCATTTTACAAGCAAGAGGGTATTTCAAGGCAATTCACAGTGCCTTATACACCTCAGCAGAATGGTGTAGCAGAACGGATGAACAGAACTCTTCTAGAAAGAACAAGAGCTATGTTAAGAACAGCAGGAGTGGCTAAATCCTTCTGGGCAGAAGCAGTGAAAACTGCCTGTTATGTAATAAACCGATCACCATCAACAACAATTGGTTTGAAGACACCAATGGAGATATGGAATGGAAAGCCACCTAATTATTCTTCATTACATGTGTTTGGATGTCCTGTGTACGTGATGTACAATTCCCAAGAAAGAACAAAACTGGATCCAAAATCTAGAAAATGTATATTCTTGGGTTATGCTGACAATGTTAAGGGGTATCGCTTGTGGGATCCCACTGCCCGCAAGGTTGTTGTTAGCAGAGATGTAGTCTTTGCAGAAAATGAACTGCAAAAGGAGCAGAAAGATGACAGTACTACCAAAGACACTACTTCAGTAGTGATAGAAAGGAAGGGTAAAGAAGATGACAACTCTGAAGCAGAAGAAGAGCACGGAGAACAAGAACCAAATGATGCCAATGATGGAGAAACTCAACAAACAAGACGTGAGATAAGGAGACCATCTTGGCACTTAGACTATGTGATGGCAAGCCACGATGCATATTGTCTTCTAACAGATGAAGGAGAACCATCAACCTTTCAAGAGGCTGTGAGCAGTTCAGATGTTTCTCTGTGGATGGCAGCAATGCAGGAACTAATCTACCTTTTGTGTTTATACACACAACCATTTTAGTATATTTTTAAAATTCTTATTTTTTCTATCTTTCTTTTCGTACAGGGTATTTTCGTAGCAAAGATTTTTGTCTGACGCATCCATTATCCCACCATCTTCTGCAAAAGAATAACTAACTGCAGCTATGTGTACGAAGGCAAGGAAGGCCGGGTCGAATGCCTTATAAGGACAGCATTTCTGAACGAAGGAAGAAACAAAAATAGACAGCATTTCTCAACGAAGGGGCGACTTCCTGATCTTGAGACCGGGGCATAGGACGACGGAAACGACGCAAGCCGCAAGCATGCAAGTCCTCACTCTTCTGAGACGACGTATTAAGCCTGTTCCCTCCATTGTTAGATATACTACATTATCAGGTAACTTACTAATTCTTCTTGTAATCCATGCGTGAATAAATAACAATGTTTAGTAGTATAATTCTAATAAAATTTCACAAACATAGAAAGTACACTACAAAAAAATCGCTTATTTGTGGCGGTTAAATTTTATGATTAGCGGCGATTTTAACCGCCTTTAAATATTTTTCCGGCGGTTATGAAACCGATGTTAAAATTGGCGACGCAAAGTTAAATT